CCCCGTGGGGATGCAGGGACTGTCATACCAGCATTTGTGCATAAACCAGATTATGGAACTGCTCGGGCTGCCGATGGCCTTCAGACCATGAATTTGAGACCCCTGCTCTAATCTACTGCCAGTTGCTCAGTTACTTGATTAATGTATTTCACTTAAATTCTGTTCTCATTTTTTTAAAAGTATCCTTTTTCCCCCTACCTCAAAGGCGCAGAGTTGCTGTGGAGGCATTACACAGGGACAATTCTCATTCTTTATTCAGATTAGTCTCTCAGATGTGCCTAGCTATCCAGGTTTCGAGCACTCTGTCCTGTAATCTTTCAGTACAGGTGACAGTTAGCCATGTACACTGTGGCCACTGCCTAGTGGGGAAGAAGAAGATGCATTGCAGAAAAGAAATGAAAGAGACTCAGTGAGGATGAGAAAAATCTAAGAATCTTCCAACCCCAAGTCGAGGATCTCTTGGCCAGCCCTCATATATGGGGTCCTCTTATGCTGAGGACCCAGGTCCTACAAAAGCTACAAAAAAAGCAATCTCATTCTTTGCCACAGCATGATTCACTGAAAAAAACTGCCCTGGTGTACTGATGGCACCCAGAGCACCAGACCAGAAGGCACCCAAGGCCATCTGGTACCAACATGACCCAAGAGGCAAAACTAAGCTTCTTGGGGAACAGAGGAAACCTCAAGCACAGCGCTATGGTGCCACCTGCTGCACCAATACAACATGGCAAGTCTGCAGATCTTTGCTTCCTCTGGTTCCCAGCCTAAGCTTGCCACCACCACTGGCCCTGAATCTCCCTATACCGCAGCAATTTGTCAGCCAGGTGGACGTCTTCATTACACTTGCTTCCAGGCTGCCCTTCCCATCCAATGCAAGCTATAGCCAGGACCATGCCTTTAAAGCCTGCATTTGGGATTGCAGTGATCAGTCTGTGAAATTAACAAAATAAAAGTGTACAACCATTAAAAAAGCGTGCCTTTATTTGTAAGAAAACAGTGCACTGAAACACAATACGGGAGGTGCTGGCAAAGAGTTACAATTCACAAATATGTGTAAGTCCAGGTATAAACAAAGTTGGGATGGAGTGTACAGGGAAAATGAGGACTCCCAGAGAGTGAAAAGTAATGAGGGGGATTGCTGGACACAGGATTTTGAAACCGGGAATGGGTGATGGGATGGATCATAATGATTGCCTCTTCTATTTATTCTTTCTGAAACACCTGGCATTGGTCATGGGCTAGGAGGACCTTTGGTCTGACGCAGTATGCCATTCTGATGTTCTTATTTAGAGCTGAAATGTATCTGCCCCCCTGCTGTAACCCACTAGACCCTAGTCCCCTTCTAGAGCTGAGATAAAGTCCAGGAGTCCTGATGAGGTCTGTCTCTCTCCACAGAGTTAGTAACAAAGTAAGAATATACATTAAAAATATAAGGCTAACCAATGTCCCTTAAGTGACTTGCCACAAGATGTCAGAATATCTGAGTGTTAGAGCTGAGTGGGTCTAATATTCATTTAATTTTCCTTTTTTATATAGGAATTAAATACAGTGAACCTGTCAGCTGACTAAGCTATCTGCCGAAAACGAGTTTTCCGGGACACTAGTAGCCCCTGGATAAAGATGATGCTTGGGGGTCGGGGGGAGGGCAGATGGGGTTCCCACCCACCCCCATTTGGTTGTTGGCTTGTATTGAGCATAGTCAATAACACTGCTGAAGGCTCTGTCCCCCTAACAAAATCTGAATTGGTATCCCTACTTACCCAGTGTCTCATCCCCTTCTTCCTGATCCCTGGAAAGTGGTTTCTCAGACTGGCTATGTCTGTCAGCTGTGGAGACCAGTTCCTGGCTGCCAGACACACTTGGCTACCCCAGAGGGAGCTCCAAGGTCCTAATCTATCTCAACCTCATCAGGTCCTCAGGCTGTGTAGGACACCATGATTTGTAAGGTCAGTCCTGTGTTTCGTGCATTACATTAAATACTTCAACAATCGTGGTGAAATCAGTTGCTATACTCTCCAATGAACTCACACTGAAAAGCCAGCCAGCAGGAAATGGGATTTAAATTGGGGTGGGTAGCTGGTCACCTGGCTGAGGGCAGCAGACTTCAAACTGCTGACCAGAGCAGCTGATTGGGAATTATGGGCCACTTTTTGGAGGCCAGAATCAGCAACAAAACACAAAGGCTATGTCTACACTGGTAGACTTTTAGATACCTTTATCAGGTATCTAAAAGTGTGTCATGAAAGAAAAAATTTGTTCATCTTGGCCTCTGAGGATAGAACAAGAAGCAATGGGCTTAAACTGCAGCAAGGGAGGTTTATGTTGGACATTAGGAAAAAGTTCCTAACTGTCAGCGTAGTCAAAACACTGGAATAAATTGCCCAGGGAGGTTGTGGAATCTCCTTCTCTGGCGATATTTAAGAATAGGTTAGATAAATATCTATCAGGGATGGTCTAGACAGTATTTGGTCCTGCCATGAGGGGAGGGGACTAGACTCGATGACCTCTCAAGGTCCCTTCCAGTCCTAGTATTCTATGATTCTATCACAGTATTCTATGATATACTGCTGGTTTCTTGCTCAAGAACAGCCTTTCTTGCGTGAAAACTTGCAGAGTGTCCACATTACAAGCCCGTTCTTGCACAAGAAAGCTTACAGTAGATCCTCAGAAGAAAGGGCTTTTAGCACAAGAGTTATTCCTCTCCCCATCAGGAATAAGCCTTTTTGCACAAGAGCTCTTGTGCAAAAAGGTTTCTTGAGCAAAAACCCCTACAGCTAAAATGGCCATCAGAGCTTTCTTGCGCAAGAGAGCGTCCACACTGCCATGGACGCTCTTGCGCAAAAGCACATGGCATTGTGGACGCGCTCTTGCGCAAGAACTCTTGCACAAAAAGTTCTTGTGCAAGAAGCCGGCAGTGTCGACATATCCCAAGTGTCTACATTGCA